AGTCCATAAATGGATATCCTCTTCCCCACCTACACTAAAAATGTGGCATGCGGAACTGGATAGGGTCATTGCCTATGAGCGCATCACCTTTCAACAACGGGGCACCCTGATACGATTTCACTCCCTGTGGGATAACTGGTTGACATATCGGGGGCAGGACATATCTGCGTAGATGGAGTCTATGTGTCTTTCCTAGCGGCCCTTGATGTATGCACCCCATTACCTGGCCACACCCGTAAGACCGTTGTGTATAAGTGGGTGGGACGGATATATGGGTATGTTCTGATCTTCCTGTAGTGAGTTCACGAGGCTTTCACAATACTTAATGTTTACTGTGTTCTTTAATTGGCGGGTAACATGTTCTTGTCGAAATATGTTTTGTGCTTCCTATGGATATGGATGCTTCCTTTCTTCTTTTTTTTTTTCTTGCTTTTGTTTTTGTCTATGCCCTATGTTTTTCTACTGTGCAAAAATGTAATAAAAACTATTTGATTTAAAAAGAAGACAAATTGTTATTTCATCTTCAGGGCTTCTGTCATTAATTTTTTTGCTGGGTTAGTTGAAAGGTTATACTCGGCAAGTGATCAAACATCAGAATAAGAAACTTTTTATAATGGAATTCATTTGGTCATAAGTAGCAAGGTGAATGGTTCATACAAGTTTCAAACGCATATCAAGAAATACTGAATACCAGATAGTTGTCTATGTCTGACAACCTTGTTCAAATTTTAATCAAAATTTATTTTTTATTTTGAGGACCTGTTTAAATCCTACTCTTCTTTGACTTTCTAATGTGTATGACTATTAGGGTTTAGTGACACAGAAGTACTACAGCCTTCCGACCTTCCTAGCATAGGTCTCACGTTACAGTTTTCCCTTAGCAGTTGGTTTATATGTCTTCTTTAATTATTGCAAATGTGTTTTACATGACAGTTCCTGTAAGGTAATATGCACAGAAATTTAATTTTCTACTAATGGATTGTCACCCAAAACCATCCTATGTCATTACAGAAATAAATCTCCAGGGCCAGATAACTTACACCCACGAGTACTTAGAGTGCTTAGCGAAGCTATAGCGAGACCATTGTTCTTAATTTTCAAGGACACCTGACTGACTGGAATAGTACCCACTGATTAGCTTAAAGCGCATGTTGTACCATTATTCAAAAAAGGCTCCAGAAATAGTTCTATAGTCACGACCTTTCCTGACAGTTTTGTACCTCGCTTTATTTCTGTGAGCTGTTGCATGAGTATAACCAACCGGACCACAGCTTGGGAGCCATCCGCAACAAAGTCCATCATCCCTTGCAGGGTGCTTTGGTGAATACCAGGTGGTTCTTTAGACCGTGCACATCGGCCTTTTTAGGGCATACATTTGCCTGGTAACATGGGGTTCTCTAACTCTGGGACATGGCTATGCTTATATATTTAAATCCACATGACAAACTCTGTGTTTTTCCATTATTGCCCAATATAGTAACTGAATATATAAAAATCGTATACTCAGGATGATAAAGAGTTCGAATGTAATATGTTCATATATTCACAAGGCATGTGTCCTAAGATTGCATAATACAAAAATAGATCCAAGAAAGAACATTCAAATAACACTTTTTTAATCCATTCAGTCATTGATTTTGCTACAACATTGTATGACAGTCATTTAAACTCACACTGAAAACAGCAGTTGATAAATGTCAGACCCAGGGTTCAAGACTGATGCATTTTAATTTCAGCTTCACTTCAGAGCCACAGCTTTTAAAACAAAATAAAATCAGCTCTTCTCCATTTCCAAGCTCCAGAGCTGGAGCCTTGCTGCCAAGTACCAGCCTGGAAAAAGTGGATTTATCCAAACAGCCGGGCACACAGAAGAAGTTAAAAATATTTGCTGTGCTGTGCTATGCTCTGTAAATGCTCAAAATCACTGTATTTATTACACATTATATGCTCTGAACACTGCCATCCCTCAGCTATTTCTATTGATTGAATTAGAAACATTATCTTTTTTGAGTTTTTAATCCTGTAAATATATTTTTGTCTTAATAAACAGTAAGTAAATGTGCATCTGCTTGACTGTTCAAAATTGTATTTCAGGGCACTGCTTGGAATTTGATGCATCATTGGATATGGCTGCCAAGCCCTACAAAGTTGATCCCATTGTAAATATTTGCAGATTTCTTTTAGGGTAAATCACTTTTTTAATTTTTATTTTATTCAGCTGTATACATTTGTGCAAGCATAAAAAGTTTACTAGTTCATAATATATAGTAGTGTAAGTATTTTTTTTTTCAAGCATGTAAAAACATGTTTTCTGGTCATCTGTACTGACTTCATCCTGATTGCCACTACTGATAAGGGTTGCGATTAAAAAGGTAATTTGACTTAGTGAGAGCTGAAAATGTCTGATTGCCAAGATGGCATCAAGGGGAAAAGACTAGAAGCTAGAACTATATCCAGTAACCCTGACTGAGCTTTGTTGTGTGTATTATTTTAAGGTATTGGAAAGGATTAGCACAGCACTATTCATTTGACTTACAAGATATTCTAAGGGTTGTTGTATGAGGAGCATTCAAAGTTGAAATCTGGATGTTGGGAATGCAATTAGCGTCATATTTGGATTTTACAAAATCAACTGATACTGCTCCTCATTAGAGCCTGGTGCAGAAGATGAGGATAAAAGGTCTAAAGCTGCCCATACACCTTACAATCATCGCACGACATTCGTTGTGCGATGGTTGTAAGGTCATTATAATTTTGTATGACCTGCCCATCTTGGACAGGCAGATCATACTTGCAATCATTGCAAGCCCTCCCCGCTAAGGGGAGGGCTTGCGATGATTGGAATGCTGAGCGCGCAGTGTGCGCTTGCGCACACCGTCCCTTGCGGCTTTCCTCTTGCGATCTTGCTACCAACCCGCCGAAAATCGTACGATTTTCGGCGGGTTTTCTAGCATGCTCGTAAGAGGAAAGTCGTGCGACCGTACAGTAAATGCGGTCGGACGCTGCCCATACACCTGCCGATTATCGTACGATCACGGGATCACTTATCAATTATCAATATCAGTACAATAATCGTCCGGTATATGGGCACCTTTAGAGAGAATGTTTGTACATGGGTCCTCTGTCTTTGAACAAATTATTTACAGAAGGTAGTTGTGAACAGAGCATTATCAAAATAGGCTAATGTTAGCAATGGTGTATTATAGGGATTGGTGTTAAGCCTAGTACTTTTTGCTGTCTTTATTAAAGATATGGACCTTACTAAGGGAGGTGACCAAGAACCCGATGGTCACTCTGACTGAGCTCCAAAGATCATTTTTGGAGATGGAACAAAGTTCCAGAAGGACAACCATAACTGCAGCCCTCCACCAATCTGGCCTTCATGGCAGAGTGGCTAGATGGAAGCCTCTCCTTAGTGCAAAACACATGAAGCCTGCTTGGAGTTTGCAAAAAAGCACCTAAAGGACTCTGACAGTGAGGAACAAGATTCTCTGGTCTGATGAAACCAAGATTGAACTGGTTGGCCTCAATCCTAAATGTTATGTCTGGAGGAAACCAGGCACCACTAATCACCTGCCCAATACCATCCCAATATTGAAGCATGGTGGTGGCTGCCTCATGCTGTGGGGGTGTTTTTCAGCAACAGGGACTGGAAGACTGGTCAGGGTTGAGGGAAGGCTGAATGGAGCAAAGTACAGAGATATCCACAATTATAACCTGTTCCACAGCGCTCAGGACCTCAGACTGGGCCGAAGGTTCACCTTCCAACATTACAATGATCCTAAGCACACAGCCAAGACCAGTGGGTCTCAACATGTGTAACTTTAGGACCCACATTTGTCCTTGGTCATTAAGTCGGGACCCAAGTCGCACCACACTGGAATGCACGGCATTGCAGTACTGCGCATGCTGGTGCGAGCGATCAAACTGAGGGAGATGCATTTCGGGTGTGGCAACACAATGCACCTCCCACACCAGAATGCCTGGTAGGTGCTGTTGCATGGTATTGTGCGTTAATCGCATGTGGCTGTGCGATTAACACACTGTACTAGTGTGAATGGGCCCTCAAAAACACTGATAGACCCAAACAATCTCCCCGACACAAACGCATGTTTAATTGTTTTCTTTTAAGATCCACCCAGTCTCCCTACTTTACGAGAACTGGAGTGGATCCTCAGCCTGGGGTCCAGTGTGGACTACTGTGCTGTGAGCTGGAGCTCCATCCATATGTGGATTGCTTGTACAGCTCCCTTGTGGGCGCTGTAGAGATGCTGGGAGCCAGAATGTGAAATCACTCTGGTCCAGGCACTTCTACAGGGCATGCGAGGGAGTTGTAAGCAATGCTCATATGGATGTAGCTCCCTCGCAGCCATAACCCCAGCCCATCCCACCTTTAGCTGACAATTGGCACTGGCAATATATTTTGAATGGCTGCTCTGTGCAAGAGCTGACAGTGCTGCGCTAGGGGAAGGCCTAGGAGCCTCTCAGCTAACACAGTAGAAGGCACAAAGCGACCCACTGAACACGGGGTTGCGACCCACTTTTGGGTCGTGACCCACCAGTTGAGAACCACAGGCCAAGACAACACAGGAGTGGATTAGGGACAACTCTGTGAATGTCCAGCCAGAGCTCTGATTTAAACCCTATTGAACATGTCCGGAGAGACCTGGCTAAGATGGCTGTCCACTGATGGTCCCTGTCCAACCTGACTGAGCTTGAGATGATTTGTGAAGAAGAATGGCAGCAAATCCCCCAATTCAGGTGTGCAAAGCTTGTCACGTCATACTCAAAAAGACTCAAGGCTGTAATTGCTGCCAAAGGTGCTTCAACAAAGTACTGAGTAAAGGGTCTAAATACTACAGTACATGAGACATTTCAGTTTTTTTTCTTTTTAATTAGGGCTGCGGAAATTAACGATTAATCCCTCAATTTAATCGTTAATTTTTTTGATCGATCAAAGTTTTTTTGATCCGTACTCACCTCTCCGCCGGCTTCCGGGTCTTCCGTCGGAGATCCGGTGACGTCACGGACATCGACGTCTCCGGACTCCTCCCCCCTTCCCCAAGTGGCTGTCGGCTAATGAAGTGAAGGGGGGAGGAGTCCGGTGAAGTCGATTGTCCGTGACGTCACTGGACTCCTCCCCCTTCCCTTCGTTACCCGATGAAGCTGCTTGGGCCGGTGAGTACACATATGTATGTTTTGGCTTTGGTATGCTGTAAGGATAATTCTGATTTTTTTTTTTTTTTCTTTCTACAGGTATGACTGGTTTAAAAATACCTGGAATAACTTATTTTTGCCACAGTTGGACTCCTCTGAGCTACATTCTCTGGGATTGTTATTTCCGGTGGCATCTCTTTTTCTCTTCATGTTTGGTACTGGAGTAGCGTACTGGTGTGGGTTTTTTTTTGAGGCCATGATTCGAAGGTTGGCAGTAATATGGATAACTGTTAAAAGGTATGAGTACAAAATCATATCTCTGTTACAATACTGTAGATCTCTTTCTTACAGTAACTAAAGCTGCTTCATTTTGCAGTAACTTACTTTTTGGTTTGCCTCAATCTAAAATTAGGAGAATTTCATTAGCTGATTAACTTCTATGTTGTGTTAAAGCAAACATGTAAAAAAAATGATTCTGGATGTACAACTGGCCAAGGGGCAAAGAAGAATGATTTGCCTGGTGCTGTCCACTATACTAAAATAAATGAATACATACTATATCTTATTTTGGGGATTTGTGATAGAAGTGCAACATGTACATACCTTTTAGTTTAAGAAGGTTCTACGGTTACTCTTACAGATGTTCAGTGGAAGGCTTTTTGGTTCCTTTTGGCCCACCTCACCATTGCCAGTCTGGTAACACTTTCACATTGCTTCTAATGCATTTACTCCATAGAAGTCATCGTTTCATGCACTGCACATATAAGGGTCGACAAGCCTGAAACAGCTGTGTGCAGTTTAAAGTAAATGGTACATTCATTTTATGCTGTATGCCTGGTGTAAACCACCAGTTCTTGATGCACAATCTTAAATTGAGGAATAAATCTCTTTTCTGAATTTGGCTAAAAGTGAGATGCATATGCCATCAGTTTTAAGGAGGCTGCGTTGTGCTTTGGAGTAGAATACTAGTAATGTGGATTTTTTTTTTTTTTTTACATTTTGTATACAGTACAGTATATCTGAATGCACATTCTTAGTATGTGGCTCTGCTCTGTTCATACTAAAGGATTAGCAGGACAATGTTGTACTAAAAAGGACTGTACTTTTGGACAGGTGGATGGTTAAAGCCTATCTAAAGTTGAAAATATAGCAGATTACCAGTTTTTAGATGGGCTGCCTTCATTATTGTTTTTTTCTTTTTTTTTTATCCCTTTTAGTTTCATCTAGTAATCCTGCGCATAATTCAGTCCCAGGTTTGCTGCACTCTCTCCTCCACTGCATCAGTGGAGAGAACCATGGTTACTATCCAGGCTGGACTTGCATGTCTGCCTTAGTTCATAGCCATTACATTTGCATTGATTGGATTAGTAATCTACAAAATAAAGATATCACTGGTTTTGTTGTTTGTTCAGCTCACAGGAAGTGACGAGGACTCTGCATTTCTGGCAAGATTAACAGGCATTTTCTGTACTTGCTGAACATGTTCTCAGCCTGAAAAGTTGAAACTAATGCAATGCAGCCACCTCATCTACGGACTGGTAAACTGAAATATACACTGAGCGGCCAGATTATTATGACCACCCCATCAGGACTTTGTTAGGCCGCCTCGTGACTCCACGAGATGTTGAAAGGTGATGCGAGGAATCTGACACTGCACTGTTGTCCTTCTGTTGTCTTGTACCAGTCTTGCCACTCTCTCAGTTCTGCCCTAACATTTACTAGTCGCTGACGGCCACAATTCGCACGTTCAGACCCAGATTTTCGGCTGACAGTCCAGTCTTTAAACACTTTAACAACAGCTGCTCTTGAACATTTAACGAATTCTGCTGTTTTGCTGATACTCGCTCCATGGTCCTGAGCGCCAACAATCCTCCCACGTTCAAAGGCTGATAAATCGCGTTGTTTACCCATATCTTCAGAAAAAAATCACTTCTACTGTCGTGGTAAACAACCTGCTTCCCTATTTATAATGGTCTGGCCCTCTAGCAACTTTAGCGCAAAATTATAGCTAATTTGCCTACAAACGTCAGGTGGTCATAATAATCTGGCCACTCAGTGTATACATATCTCTATATATGTATTTAGGTTTAGTTATCCATTAAAGTCGCAATTGGGTTTTTATTGTGTGTTGTACACATTTACAAAAATTGACAAATTGAAATGTGTTTTTCCTTAAAAAGATATATTTTTCCTAGAAATACAGATGTTCCACATGAAAGCAGCAGTTTTACAAAGAGAGTTCTTATAGAGGGATCACTATTCTCTATTGTTTGTTGGAGGACTTGTGGAGCATTGAGTATTTTGCTTGTATTTATTCGCTACTTTATCAAGGTAAGATTATAATTTTTAGGTATATGAAATATTCATAGTTCCACTCTGTGCCACCTCTTCACCTTAGTATGAAGTGCGTGTCTCTCTTCTCCTCTGTGTACCCTCTCCATCTGTTCCTCTTTTCTGTCCCATCTTCTCTGTTCCACCTCAGTCTTACAATCTTAGATAAGTTTTATGTCCCAGTGCTGCTGTATTGAATAATATAATAAACTACATAAGGCATATTTATGTCGTCAATTAACAGATGCATAGCTAACAGGAATAATAAGTGGTGCAAAATGCACAAGAGGACCATCTGCACAAAACCGAGAGCGATTTGTGAAGATGGTTTTACCAAAATGTTCAGAATATAAGATGGGTACAATTATGTGTGTAACAACCAGTGGCGTAGCAATAGCTCACACGACTGCTATGGGGCTTAGGGGGGAAGAAGGGGGTCCCATTAGGGGGCTGAATAGGAAATGTGAAGTGTCCAGTATACTGTAGAAGGGCTTGAGTCAGACTTCAGGATCGTCTTGTCACAGATTGCTTACCGAGTGTAGCTTTATTGTCCTCTGAACTTCTGCTACAGACTGAAATTAACTCCGTATGCCCATTGCAGTCACAAATCCCAGAGTTTTACCTCTGTTAAAACCTTATAGGGGGGCTGAGGTTTGAGATTGCGATGGCTGAGTGTGTACAAGAACATTATTCATTTTATCATGATGTAAAATATTATTATGGTTCTTCTTATTAGTGCTCCTATAACTTTTACCCCCAGCTTTGCTCCCTAGTAACGTACGGACTATGCTGACCGCTCTCCTGCTGCCTGTCCTTTATACATCAATTATGCATATTGTCACATTTGACAATGCCAGATACTACAGAGAAAGTTAGCAAGGGACCCCAAAGTTTTGCTATGGGGCTCCCTTTATTTGTAGTTATGTCCCTGATAACAACATAAAAATGCAGTGATTAATACCCAGTGAACACTTATACTAAACATGTTGTGGTTTCTACAACACAAGACCGTACACCACCCAAAGCTGGGCACACCTAAATGCTATTTACTAATGAACCATTTCAGATCTCACACCTGTATACCCTCTATTAACTAGAGCAATTTTTACATTTCTTCTATGGCCCTTTTTGTTTGGCAATAACTTTGTATTTACTTAACATAACAAAGTAACACCTATATCATTTTTTAGGACAAACAAGGCAATATTGTCTTGCAAAAATTATTTGTTTATGCAATTCACAGGCAAAAAAAGTACAAGAACAAAAAAAAAATTCTTCTTTGATCATTGTTAAAATAAAATAAAAATAGTGTTGCTGTAAACTAAAAAGTATACATTCAGTCTATAATTTATCCTGTTTAAAATTACACTAATATTATGATTCTGGTAAAAGGCCTTGCAAAGTTATTTACAAATTAAATAAATTATAAATAAATAAAGGCATTTTTTTTACACAATTTCACAAAAATATAAACATAATGAAAAGAAAGTTTAAATATTACTGGCTAGAAAAATAGAAATAAAAGGAAAAAAATAAGGGTAAGGGGAGAAGAGGAAGAACTTATTTAGGGTAAACTAAGGGTTAATGGGGGGTTAACTAGCAACATATTTTATGTTAAAAAAAAAAACCCAGTTATTTCTTTACTTGTCAGGTCGCTTTAACTGGCATCACATGCAGATCCAATAGTAGAAATATTATTTATGATTCTCAATCTCACAGCAGTGACTGGTCTTCATTACAAGCTCCTGCAATAGTTTAGAAGTTTCACACCAGATTGGCAAAAATACAAAAAGCACACCAAGATCTAAGTAATAATACACATCTTTTTTAGGTAATATTTGTGTATTCCAGAGTTCAGCTTTAAGGCCTATTGTCGCTATAAGCAAAACGCCTGTCACTGGAAAAAGTACAGGAGGTTTATTTTTATTTTTTTTTGGCATATTTGGCATATTACAACTCGTTTTGGCCCCATAGACCCAATAGAAAACGCTTGAAAACGTGCATTTGCTGTGTTTTTTGCGTGTTTTAATGCGCATTTTATTCATATTTGCTCATTAAAGGAGAACTATGAGGTGAGTGCTTTTCACTCACCTCATAGTTCTAGCCGACCTATGACAATGAGACTGTCACATGTTGGCTCAGTAGATCGGGAGGTGAGCGAACAAATACCGACGTTCGCTCTCCTCTCGATTCTGTCACGGCTCTCTGCCGTGACAGGGGAGGGGCTGTATTCCCCCGTCCCCGCTCCGATCCGCCAGCGCTGACTGGCGGAACGGACGGGGGAGGGGGGCGGGTACAGCTGGCTCTGCCTCTAGATAGGCAGAGCCAGCTGTCAGTCACGCAGCTGGGCGGATCCCGGCACAATTGTCGAGATCCGATTCAGCTGCGGCGTCTCAGTATACCGCGAGCAGTAGCTTGCGGTATACTGCGGCGTTTCAGTATACCGCAAGCTGTAGCTTGCGGTATACTGAGCTTAGGGTGACGGGAGGACGCTAGTTTGTGGAAAAGCCTTAACCCCATAGTTCTCTAACATCAGTGAGCTGCAATATGCTCACAAAAACGCGCGATTTGATTTATGAAAAAACATGCGCAAAAATGGTGTCACCTAGGTGTGAACCCAGCCTAAAGGCTAAAAGGCTAACTTTGGACATTTTTGGGGGTTTTGAATGGAGCTGGAAAGAATTGATATTTTTTTTTTTTTGGTTTGTGACCCGTTGGATAGATTTTGTCTGTAGTGGGCTCACAAAGCTATCTCTGCTGTACTAATAATCCCAAGCAGTGTTTTCAGCCCTGTCCAAGTTCTTCCCTGCTGAGCTACAGAACACTTGATGGACACTTTTTTATTTTATTAACACTTTTTTGACAGATTTAATACATTACAGCGGCTACATTTTCAAATATAATTTTTAATAACATCGAATTACAAAATGGGTCTTGCAACAATTATGCTGTATGCTATATTATTTTTGAAAGATTTTTTTAATTTTAATTTTTTTAAAGTGGTGCTACCTTTTAAAGGAGAACTTTAGTGTGCTTTTCACTCACCTCATAGTTCTAGCCAACCTGTGACAATGAGACTGTCACAGGTCGGCTCAGTAGATCGGGAAGTGAGTGAACACATACCGGCGTTCGCTCACCTCTCGATCCTGTCACAGCTCTCTGCCGTGACAGGGGAGGGGCTTGATTCCCCCCGCTCCGATCTACCAGCGCTGACTGGCGGAACGGACGGGGGACGGGGCCGGTACAGCAGGCTCTGCCTCTAGATAGGCAGAGCAAGCTGTCAGTCACGCAGCTGGGCGGATCCTGGCACAATTGTCGGGATCCGCTTCAGCTGCGGCGGCTCAGTATAGCGCGATCTACAGCTCACGGTATACTGAGCCTAGGGTGACGGGAGGACGCTAGTTTGTGTCCTCCCGTTACCCTAAGGAGAACTATGGGGAAAAGCCTTAACCCCATAGTTCTCCTTTTAACCACCTCCCGTCTGCCGAACGTTCAGAAACAGCCGGACAGGAGCCTTCTGGATGCAGGTGGGAGTCTTTAAGCGTCCTTCGTGCTTGCGCACACAAGCGGGAAACTGTATGTAAACAGCCATCACTGGCTGTTTCAAATCCTTGCAAGCGGTCCGGCATCTGTAAAGACACCCGATCGCTTGTATGATGCATCTCTCTAACAGAGGGAGATCAGCACACGATCTCCCTCCTCTCTCCCCCCAGGCCTCTGAATGCAGGAAGTGATGTTAACTCTGAGTTACAACCCTCAGTGGCTGATTTTAGAAACACAGGTTGGACTATGGCCAGGTTCTTTACCAGTCACAGCTTTATGGAAGAGTAGAAAAAAGAAAGCCACCGTTTACCGTCACAGTTTACTGTTCAGTTTTGGTTGGCATAATTGTTTTTCTAAAAGATGTATTTCGTGATTTTCAAAAAAATTTATATTAACAGGTTGTGAAGATGCAGTGTGATCTTTGTAGACACCCTCTGCCAGACAACGGAGTGAGTACATTAAGTTTTATTTTTATGCGTTCAAGCTGTATATTTCTAAAAGTAACTTATGTTTGTAGTAAAAGAATCCATGATACAATCATATTGTAATGTGCAGAGTACACAATATAGTCATTGTAAGATGCAGTAGTTAATTTTTCAGTCTGTGTTCATGTAGTTTTCCAGTTTAGGGACATTTACAAAGGAAAATTAGGAATATACTGTATATATTTAATATAATAAAAATCAAATATTGTTAATGTATAAACTCTTCTTGGACCAGCAGCACATGATCACTTCTACTGAATATGTTAACGTTTTACATAGTTACATAGTATTTGAGGTTGAATAAAGACATTAGTCCATCAAGTCCAACCTATTAGGATCTCATTCTAGGAGTACCTGTACCCCTGTATATTACGGTCCCTTAAGAAATCGTCCAAAAGTTTCTTGAACAATTCCACATTATTTGCTGAAATCACCGCCTGTGGCAGTGAGTTCCAGACCCTAACTGATCTTACTGTGAAGAACCCCCTTCGCCCCATTTACTCCATTTGTGCAAGTGATTTGTTCCCTGTCCCCTTTCTAATAATGACAAAGTAAATTTAATGATGTAATAGTCACATGTTGGGGCATTCCATAGAAATTGTGCAAAATAGGTTTTCCGTGTTTATATATAATTATAATAGTCAATATGGAAAAGCATCTTTGAGCTAACAGTGGCAGTGATGGGAAAATAAATGTCAGAATAAATTCTCAACAATACAAACCATAAAAGTGGAGATGCGCTTGTACTAATAACTGCTGGTTACATAGCAGTGAAATATTTTTTTAAATGATCAGGAAGTATGTTTTTTGTTTTCTGGCCAAGCTTCATTTTATTGGTTGTTTTTTCCCTGGGGGTAAGGATGATTATTTCCAACATATGCATTGTGTTTGCATGATGGATGGAACAACGTGTGTACAAGTTACAATATAAAGTGTACAGAATGACAAATTGAAGGACAGCAAAAATGTTTGCTAAATTATAT